GTCCTCTTCGTATAGACGACTTGTTGATAATATGATCGGTTATTGATGGAAAATCCGATGGTCCCTCACCACAAGGCAACAACATCAAAGGTGAGGTAACATTATTAATTACTCTCATTGTGTATAAAAGTCCGAAATAAAAATTCAGAATCATGAATATGTAAAGCGTATACATAGTGAAAAATACATCGATCACGAGTTAACTTGATCGATGCATGTAATTGCTATCGTCTTGCGCATGCGCGTAATTTTTTCGATGAGATGGCTTTTGTTATTATACAAAATGATTATCCTAATCATGTATTTATCGACAAAACTACAAAATATCTCTGCTACGTACTGACTTTAATAATATTATCGGTCGCGATCAAGTCATTAACAAGCGTGCATTTGTCGAGCCATGTGAACAAGAACTAATTCGAAACCGGGATGCCTTGTAATTGTCGAAAAAGCATTAAAACCAACTTTTTTTTTTCCCTTCTTTCTCTGGATGTGCAGAGAAAAAAATGGTCCCCTTTTGGTGAGAAAAGCATCTTCTATCTTCTTGGCTAAATTCAGAAGGGAAATTATTATATATAATCACATTCGTTGAAAACGGAATAAATAATCGTTCGTCAAAAACCGAAGGTTAGCTGGCTCGATCCTACGTGGCGTACTGTGTGCCATATCCTTCCTTCGACTCTTTAGGAGCATTATCAGTCAAAAAACGGTATCGACATATATATCTCTACGTTTATCTCTCTTTTGAAACCATCATATATATCATGGTTTTTTGAGGCTGAGTTCAGATTTTAAGAGAAAGAGTCGAGTTGATTTCGAAATTACTCAACGGTTTCGTGTTCTTGAATGCAACCAAGTATCGAGAAAAACCGATATTGTAAGTGCAATTCTTGTTATGTTAATCTAGTTTTTGTATTTCTCTTATTTTTCATGATGAATCAGAATCTCCAGCTTAATTACTGCAATTCTTTGCTTAACAATATCTGTTTTAGTTTTTACAGCAGATAGATTTAATTTATGGTATATAATGCATTTCTTAGCTCAAAATCTCTTGTCATCACATAGCTCAAAATCTCTTTGTCACATAACTAATTTACACTTAATAATTAATATGCAATACCTGTTTTACAGCAGAGGATTTTGATTTTAAGAGAGGTAGTCGAGTCGATCGAGCCGATTTCGAAATACTCAACGGTTTTCGTGCTCTCGAACGCGACCAAATATCGAACCAAATCGGTGTAAGCAAATATTCTTGTTGTGATATTATTGTCAATCTTAATTATTGCAATTCTTTGGTTAACTAATGATGCACACTAAATATAGAAATGACACAAAAACATAATATTTTTTATTTATTTTTTNCAAAAGTCAACAACAACAACAGATCATCAACACGACTCCCGAAAAAACCCAGCCGCCAAAAACAAAGGCGCCAGCTGGTCCAGATTCAACGACCCGCGGGTCGTTCGGGCCTCGAGGGCCCTCGGCGGAAAAGACCGTCACAGCAAGGTGTGCACAGTGCGCGGGTTACGCGACAGGCGGGTGAGGCTATCGGTCCCCACTGCCATCCAGCTGTACGACCTTCAAGAACGTCTCGGGCTTAACCAACCGAGCAAAGTTGTCGACTGGCTTCTCAATGCCGCGAGGCACGAGATAGACGAGCTTCCCCCTCTACAAATCCCACCCGGGATGATGTCGATGATGATGTCAGCAAATGGAGAAGAAATAAACCGAGACGAGTTGACTTCGGGAGGGTTGACTTTATCACGAGCCGGTCAACTGCGTGAGGAGGACAGCTGGCGTAATTTCGGGTTGCTTCCGTTGCAAGTTCCGTCGACAATGTCGGCCGGGCCTTTTACACAATCGTATTTTCCTTCGGAAGTCAACTATTATCGAGTTGACTCTTCGTCGGCTGGTCAAACGTCTTTGAAGTCGATTCACTTCGACATGACGGCAAATTTACTCCCTTCGCACGACGAAAATCGTTAATTAATTAATGATGGTAGACGATTATGAACTGGTAAGATATGATTTCAATCTATATGTGATTAAAGGTTTTGTCAATATATTTATATATATATATATATAGGTTCATTTTATTTTGTTTACATAGACTATCAAGAGCTTATATATGCTGTTTAAGTAAATATATACTGATGAAAGGATTTTTCAACATTGTTACAACTATTTATGTGTTTTGGGATGTTGTTATAGTGTGGTAAGTACTGTGTAAACTATCCTCATCAGCAAGTAGTTCATATGACAACCAAAATTTGTTGAACAGAAAAATTGCACCATTAGTCCACTAACTATTACTGAGTTGCACTTTCGTACTTTAATAAACAAAAATTTATATTTGGTACACTATATTTTTTTTTTTTGACAATATACATCCAAAACGATTTTTTCCATATCCATGTGTCATTACATATAGATTAAAGAATTAAAAAAAAAATCAGAAAAGTAATAACACAAGACGACGCCGTTTTCCCCTCTTTCCCCTTCAGCTCTTTCTTCTCCTCCCCTTGGCCGCCAAGGACGTAGCCGCTGCCGCCTCGTGGCCGCTGTTTAGGAAAACGAAGGCGTCCCTCCCGTCGCTGTTGCTTCTCCCCAAGAAATCCTTGAACCGCCAGATCTTGGAAATACCGGTCGAGTTGCTCTTCCGGCAGACATCCGACAACACCTCCACCGCCTTCCCGTCCGGGGAGGACGGCGCCTTCTGGCCGCTGTCTTCACTCGTTTCGATGAAGACCTTCTTCATTGGAGGCCTCGTGGGCAAGCTGTCGAGCAGATTCTCGCCGGAGAAGAATATATCCCGGTTGAAGAGTGGATAAATTGAGCGAATCTAGCCGTCAATGAATATGTCCTCAGCCGCTATCGGCGACTATGTTCGCTCCTCCGCAGACAAAAGAAAATTCCTCTTCTTCATCTTCTTCTTCTTCTCTCTCATCTTCGCCGTGAGTTTCTGGTCTGATTTATTGAATTAGGTTTATTTTTATTTTTTGGTCTGAGATCTTATTTTTATTTTTGATTTTTTTTTTAATTCTTAAATCCATGTGTAATGACACATGGAGATGGAAAAAGTTTTTTTTTTTTGTTATCCACGTGGCGAAAGATCTATGGACAGCTCATGCCACATCACCGACGGTGTTTAATATGTAGGGTCAATTGGACGCCACGTCAGATTACCGGCCAAAAATGTCACGGGAATATCGTTTTGGATGTATATGGTCAAAAAAAGAAATATAGTGTACCAAATATAAATTTTTGTTTATTAAAGGACGAAAGTGCAACTTAATAGTTAGTGGACTAATGGTGCAATTTTTCCTTTGTTGAACGATCTAGATTTTTTGATACACAAACACATTGTATTTTTGAAGTATAATGTTACTTTTTTGTCACTGCAGGTTGTTTTTGTGTTCTTAACTAGGTTTGAGATTGTTGAAAAGTTTTGGTTCTCATATCCTATGCCTAACTCGACCCTCGCCTCCTCAAAACTGATTAAATGTATAGTAAGATCATGTTAATATAAGAGAATATACCTCTTATAGTTAATTTTATGGAATCGTAAAACCTAATTTGTAGCTACCATATGTTGGAAAATCGGTTATGAAAAATTTGAGTTTCATCCGGTTGTGACTGATTAAATTATTTAATTCGGGTTAAATTACATTATTTAGAAAAATTCTACACTAGTAGATGTTCGTGGTATATTTATTTTCTCAAAATTGATTTTCGGTGAGTGGTAAATAAATGATTAAAGTTAATTATTAATGGGCACATATAACATTGGTTGCGGAATTAAAATGATGAAGAGTCTTATCCCACGTTAACTTAACTGAAATTAATTATCTTTATCAACAACAACAAAACTATGCACCAAGTGTTGGTGATGACTTCGGCCACACGCGCGCGCGGCTCGGCTCGGCTCGGGCATGGACATGGGAACGGTTGTGTGGTGACATTGTGCGAAAGTTACACCAAGTATTGGAGGTGGCTTCAGCCACACGTGCACGCGCGCCCACCGGAAACAAATTAAAGAAAAATAGGTAAAGCTGGCTCGGCTCGGGCACTGGCACAGTTGTTCGATGACATTTTGCGAAAGATAAAAGTGCAAAGGCATTCGCATAACCCTTCGCACTTTTTAGGGTGAAAAAAGTTAAAGTGCGAAGACATTGTGCAATAAATATGCGAAAGTTGTGTAATTGATGCGACAGTTATATCCGGTCCGTTCGCATTATCTTTGCACTGTTTGGGGTGAAAAAGTCAACAATTATGGGATCAATTCGCTTAATCTTCGCACTTTCTAGGATGAAAATGGTTTAATTGTTAGCGGGCGGTGTGAAAAACTTAATATATTTTCATATTGCGGTGAAAAATATTTTTTCCATATATATATATATATGCATATATATTGTAGAAATATATTTACTTGAACACTTATAACTTAAAGACAAGAACAGTTCAAAAAGATTGTTGAAATGTTCACCTACCCACCGTGGACACATTAAGATGTGTCCAGAGATTATACCAGTCAAGATCTTGTGGTCTTTGAACATTATACCCACTTCATATAATATGTTAGTTTTCTACCATATCAGATGATATGCATATTAACTCGTGTCCACCTTAAATATAAGAGTTGGAATTGTATCGTCAACTTTACACTTTACACAAAAGATCATTTATATAAGCCGAACTCAAGTAAACTATCAAATTATGTGATCCTAAATAAATCCTCAGAAGTTAAACAAGTATCAAACTAATAACATGACGACAACATGTGGTCGTTATTAATAACTGCCTTGTGGTTCAGTATTTCATGTTTAGATTTCAATATTGCCAACCTAATTTCCACTATAAGAAAATGATGAAATTCCAACAGAAATATATTCTAATAGAATTCCAACGGCAATTCCGACGGATATTTCAATGCTATTATTTTCGTTCGAATGATTCAAATAGAAATTCTAACAGAAATATTCTGTTGGAATGAGTTTTCCATTGGAATTTTCGTGGATTTTGACGATTCCAACGGTAAATTTTCTAACGGCGGTGGAAGTAAAAATTCCAACGAAAATTGCATATTCCAACGGAAATTCCTACAATCAAAAGCCGTTGGAAATATAGCCGTTGGAATCATCAAATTTCATCTAAAATTCCAATGAAAAATACATTCCAACGGAATATTTCCGTTGCAAATTCCATTGGAATCATTCCAATGGAAGCTATACCATTGGAATATCCGTTGGAATTTCCATTGAAATATGTTAGCATATGGTTTTCCGTTGAAATATAACATTTTTTTTGTAGTGTTTGTTTCATGATCACTAATTGCCTTTGGCCATATGTAGTCAAAGAAAAGAAAGATAATGTGGTCCAAATTTAAAAAGGGAAAGAAGGAAAGATTAGGTGATGAAGAATGATTTAAAGTAATTTAGGGTTTGGTTTGTAGCATTTGTGTTATTGTATGTGCAAAGGACCACACACATTGCAAAGTCCTTATCATAGTTATAGGAGGGTCCCCGGCTATTGGTTTGGTCCAATATGTCACGCTAATAAGCCAAACAATTTTAGGGTTTGAGTCTTTATTGCTCATATTTTCTTATTACAATATACTTTTGATTTTCGTTGATTCAATACTCGATCTGTTTATAAATAAACGTCGTTCTAAAAAGAAATTATATAATTTACGGTCTGCTTAAAATTATTCTGTTTCAAGTCTTTTATATTCCGTTCCTAATCCCTATATAATAATTCAAAAAAATTATTCTGTTTCAAGTCTTTTATATTCCCTCCCTAATCCCTATATATTAATTCAAAACGTGTTGAGCTTAAGTGGTAAGCTCACACGTTTCGGATGCTGACATGGCAAAAATCTATACTTCGAAATGTTATTTGTATATTAATATTTTGCTTTGGAATTAGACTTGATATAGACAAAAATAACTTTTTTCAAACTTGGTAAGTATACATTTAATTTTGTTATTTTTTTTTTCTATTAGCACAAATTTCCTTCTTGGACAAGTAGCAATTTTACCATCTAATAATTTTCTTCTCCCATATTTCTCTCCTAAACTAGTGTGGTACCCATGCGATGTATGGGCTAGTTATATTAAGGGAAGCATTTGATTTGGATGATGAGATCATTGTTCAAAACATAAAACGCATTTATTGATAACATAAAATGTCATTTATATATTAGTAAATATCTCCTCGTACACATCATTCTTTGTTTGATTTTTTGGTGTATCGTTGACCGCGACTGAATACTGTCTTCTTCAAGAATAGACCAACATGCGATATCCTTTCTTTTTTTGTTTTGTTTTTGTTTTTGACGTTGTATCTTTCGTCCCTTTTTTCTGATTACATTTGATATGGTATTTCTTCATAAAACATATAAATTCTTAAATTGTATGTGTGTGTGTGTATATATATATATATATACAATTTAAATCGAGAGTATATATCACAATTAGGTGTTGAAATGATTTGTAAGTGTTGATTTGTATCCATCGAGGTAGGTGTTTGAAGCATGTGCTATACTTACGTTTAACAATTGTTACTAAAATTATGGAAATATCGACAACAATAACCATTATGCGATTTGCAAAAATCTGTTCTATAAAATAGTGTTACTGACAATTTTAATTTAAATATTACTTAATAAATATTATTCATTTTTTGCATATTTAATTTAATTAATCAAATCGTTGGTAATTAAGGAAATAATTAGACCATACAAATTTACATTTTTAAGATACTTTAATTACGCAGATCATGTAAATTCGGTGGATTTATTCATTTATAATTTTTTATAAAATTATTCCAAAATAATTGTTTCAATGGAAGTTTCTAATTAATTATTTTCTAATAATTGTTTTTTTAGTTTTTTTTTTTATTTTTTCTCTATAAAAAGCGTGGGTCTCGATTTTGTGTTGGACGTTGGGCAATTACTTCCGTGGTAAAATTGAATTTCATTTTTTGTATTTTATCGATAATGTATGAAATCGAATTATTTGAATACTGTATATTTATCAATATTTTTTTTTCATATTGATAAGCATTTTACTCGATATCAATGAAAGAAAAAGCTGAAGGCTACTATGATCGATACTTAGAAAATCTGGAGAATACTATCGATACTTCTTTGTGAATGTGCGTGGAACATATCAAATTATTTAGTATATATATTTATGTAAATCGATCAATCTATTTAAATAAAACAATATCATCCACGCAACTTAACAACCATAACCAAAAGAAAATTGAGATATCCAATCGTACCATAACAATCAATCAACTCATACCAAATCGCATTGTAGTCAAATCGAATTTCTTAATAAAAATTTTAAAATAATACCTATTTTGAATGAATGTAATTTAAAAATATAAAATATATAGTAAATAAAAAATAATACTTCATAAAAATATTTTAAAGAATTCAAAATAATATTAAAAAATTACTTTCTTAATAATTCTGTAAAGTTTTTTATTTCACAATAAAAGTTTCATTTTTTTCATTTTTTGTTGGACAATTAGTTTTTTATGAAACACTCGTGTAGTTCACGGGTGTTGTACTAGTTTATAAATATTATTTAATTAGTATTTTTCAATTTATAGACATTAATGAATATTTTTCACCCGTGAATTGCACGGGATTCGTACTACTCTTTGTCTAAACAAGTGTGGAACTTAATTGGTCATGCGCCAGCCTAATCTTTGACTAAACAAGTGTTAACTTAATTTTAGTTGATCATGCACGCTGGCTACGCGACGCTTGACTACAATATTTTTAATATATTATTTTAATTTATTTTTAAACGTATTATATATATATTGCAACTTTTTACGTGAAAGTTGTATTAACAATAAAATAAAATAAAGAAACTATAATCATATTATAATACAATATTTGTAAATGAATCTTAATTTAAAATATTAAAGTATACTAATAATTTGATTATATACAAAGATACAAATATTTCATGAAAAATTTATTTTTAATAAAGGCACAATTTGTACATTGAACGGAAGGTATACAGTAAATTTTGAATAGACTTGATTCGCTGAAAAACTATAATTGAAATGTGAAAAGTTGGGCCTCTCACCCTCATATAGACTATGATTAAACATGATTAAGATTAGGATGGACCTCTCACTCTCATATAGACTATGATTCAACATGATTAATATTACGCCCTATCTAAATTTGCAGTACATTCACTTGATTTTATAAATATTTTACAAATACAATACATGTACATATATGCGATTATGTATTTTTTTAATTCATTTCTAAAAAAAAAAACTCTAATAATTGCACTTCACTCCCTACTTAACGTCTATCTGTTTACACAAATATAATTCTTCACCTCCTTCGCAAAAATCAATCAATTAATCAATCAATAAGCCGTGAAAATGGTAGGCTACATGTCGACCATCGTGCTCGATCCAAATACACATCTTCATTTATATTTAAATATTTTAAATTGTTTTTAATAAAAAGAAAAAATAGCCATCCGACATTTAAATGATTTGAATGATGTTTGCCCGGGAGAGACCAACAAGGTAGTGTCATCAAAGACCCGACCAGAAATTGAGAGGGCCGGCCGGTAGGTTTTGCTACTAACCCAAAATATCAATTGGTAATCCAAAATTCAAGCTCGCAGTTCTCTTTTTGTTCGATTTTCAGCTGCTTACTGATCAATGCTCTCCAACTCTTTAAATAGGAATCCAAATTGGTGGGCAGCGGCGGACCGGAGAAGGCCGAATTTCCGGAGTTTTCGCGGTGGCTTCACTAAAATACGGGCGAGGGGTGGTATGTAGTCCTAACTTGAATATGTGAATCATTTTTGTTGCCTCGGATTTTGCCTAAATACTTGCGAATTTCAGCGTCTGTTTGGATTTCCCGTATTTGTTTGTGGTGATGATAAATGACATTAGCCCGATTGCTATTGAATGTAATTTTTGCTGTGATGAAAGAGGGCTCGGGTGCGTTTGAATTGAATATTGAATTTATGAAAATCTGAAACAAAAGTAAATATAAAATATATATGGTTGATTACTTTTTAGGCGTTTTGGAAGATTGTATTTCATTTGCATCTGATGTTGGAGTCACCTGCAGGGAGGGACATATGTTGAATCAGGATCAATTGTGCCAATTATTAGGGGTATGTTTAGGAGAAAAATTGATAATTACAAATGCTATTTGATAGTCGAAAAGTCTGGCTGATTTAAAAGAGCATTTGACAAAATCGACAGACAAGTCAGCAGAAAAATATCATATTCCGTGGAAGTAATGCTTTAGAAAAATGATATTGAATACTAACAAGAAATAATGACGAAGAAATAATCAATAAATATCATTTTACATTGTAAAATACTTTAATAGTGTATTCTTATGAGAGAAAAAATCCAGTACATATATGATGTATGTTAAGGACGTGAAGTCAACTTAACAAAAGGCAAATACTTAATTGCATAAAAGTGTTATTTCATCAAGACAAAGAAAAGTCCTCCTCAGAACGCTACTCATTGAAGTACCATGAGATAAGCTCTGGCTTTCCAAAGTTGTTCCAACCAAATAAAGCCTATTTTATTTGAAAGTGCTTATAAGCTTATGAGTTTTGTGAGATCAACAGCCAATAAGCTTGCTGGAAACCAAATAATGCATGATAATAGGAACATGAAGATCATGATTAGACATAGACGTGGAACAAGAGAGGAGAAGATGAACTCAGATGCCCTCAATGTATTGAAATGTCTAGGTAGTAGCTCTTTAAATGCTAAATTTCTGATCACAGTACCACAGTCTTCATATTTGTGCATCACCTTTTGGAAAAGGTGATGGTCTTTTGGTGGAAATTGAAGGAATATGCTTGTGAACTAGTGTGTGGCGAGAATTTTCATCTTCAAGACACACCTCTCCTATCACCATATCCTTCAGACAAGATAAAATAGTTTTTCTTGGAAAATGTTGAATGAAGATTTGTGAGATGCTATTGTTATTCCAACGACACCACTTTATCATTTTTTACCTTTTAAATTTTATCCTTATACCAGTGGTAGTTTCTGAATGACGCTGTTAGTACATAGCAATCAATTTTGGGTTGTGGATGAAAGTAGACTAACATGGCTAGATTTATGTTGGTTTATTGCATAACCATCACGTCACTCAACCCAAAAGTTCCATATACACAAAATATCTATTCTTATTATAATTCAAAAGAGTTCCCATATACACAAAATATCTATTTTTATTATACCCTTAATTATAAAAACGTTTTTTTTTTCTTAAAATAAATTTAAATGGGAAAAAAAATGAGGAGAGAAAGGTTTTCCTTATTTATTCACTTAAATAATGAAAAAGAATGTTGAAAATTGTATAGAACCATGTTTCCATTATGTTTAGTTAGTAGACTTAAACATGATCCTTTCACTACCTACGGAGAATCATGGTCAGATAAAATAAGCCATTCATCTATGTTCACCGAAGTTGTGTCCATTTCCGGGTCTGTTGTGTTTCCTTGAAGTTGTTATCCCACACAGAAGGATTTGATGTGGACACACCAAAGTTACTAATATCCTGGCGAAAAGAATTCATTGACCACGTAGGCTGTTCCAAGCTATTGTCATACAGGTGAGAATGAGGTACACTGTTGGCTTGATTATAGTTCTTTTGGGACTCCAAATATCTAGGGGTTCCATGAGAAGAAGGTTCTTGTGATGCCATGGGCTGAATATTCCATTCTTGTGGAATTCTCATATCGGCGTCAATATTACTGAACTGATTTCCAGTATTGATGTGTGCCTCTGGCTGTATCAGAGATTGTAGGGCATCCAAACAAAAGAATTCATCATTGAAATAATATGAGCTCTGTGTTGGGACTTCTGGGGGCAGGTCTGTGGGCTGTTGGATCATGGTTGGATGAAAATTTTGGGTAACCATTGATGGCATTGGTGCCATAAATTGTGAGTTTTGTAGGTGTTCTCCCTCAAACAGAACAGTAATTGTGGCTGTTGAGGTTGGCATCTTGAGCTGACAGATCTTGAAGATGAGGCCTTTGTTTGCTTAGCACTCCTAGGTTTACCTCCAATCGGGATATCCTTTAAGTTTCAACCGACAGTCCATTGTCGTTTGCAAGTCCTGCATGAGTGTCGGGGTTGTGTGGGGCTATGATTATTGAAATATCGGAATTTAGTGTCTAGAGAGTTACAGCGTGGACATCTCAAATAGGTTGGTGGTTGCTCTTGTTCCTGGGGTCGCCTTTTGCTTGCTCCATTATCTCTCTGTCTTTCTCTGTGTTCGTCTCTTTTATGTTCTGTGTTCTGTGAATTGCAAATCATTAAGCTTATAGTCGAAAAATTTAAAATTGCAGTAAATAGGGATGTTGTAATCTGGCGAATTATAAGAGTAAATCTGATAATAAGATTTCACGGATGTATAGCGATAAAAAGTATATTGACTCTCATTTGGTCTTTGTAATATCATGGGAAAATATAATTATGTGGATGTGGATGCATTAAAGCACACGAGTTTGGCTGTGATCTGGTTTGACATTATAGATGGGTTTGTCAGTTTGGTTGTTTCTCGTGGGAGTATGAGAAATTAACTTTAGTACAATCAGCGCTTTCTTTTTCTCTTCACTGAAAGAGCTATGTATATTTAAGTGCCGAGCACGCTTAAGCGAAATTCCCAATTGATTTCCATAATTCGTTTACTATGGGAAAACCTCATACTTACTAACTCACCCCGGCTGCACTTAAACCTCCTAAATTATCAATCAATCTTTCGTAATAGCCAAATCATTTTTATGGTGGATTTCATTTATTTATATTGGGGTCACTTAAAAGATTCTTTTATTTGATTTCTAGTTTGTTTATACATGCATTTTGCATATGTTTTTGCAAATAGTACATGTTAAGCGTGAGGCACCTTTAAAGTAGCTAAAAATAGAGCACATAGTATGCAGGGATTGAGTAATCTTAGATATCTTGTTCTACTGAGGTAGTTGGTCAGCGACTTCGCAGTCGGCAAATTTGGCATAATCATAAAGTTACCTGTGCAGTTATCTTAGAGCATTGTTAGGTTTTATTGTGCATTTGTTCATTTCTTGTGTTTGATAGTGGGATACATTCTTAAGCCATACAAATGACTTGCCGAATCAATGAAAATATAGTGATAGAATATCAAAGTCTCAGTGGTTCTAGATGTGATTGTATTTTACTTGTGTTTTGTGGCAATAAATCGTATTAGGATGTATAATTTAGTACACTCCAATGAGACGTTGAATATCCCTAATTATGGACTTTCAGCTTTTAACATTCATTACTTGTAAATTGTAATACAACTTCTCTTCTCTGGTTTCTTTAATTTAAAAGTTTTTAGATATCTGGGATTGGATATAAGATTTTTTCGTAGAATTTTTTCTGGCCTGACAAATGAGATGGAAAAGTTGAAATAGTTTTTTTAGGAAAAAAGCATGTCAGATTTGAGATTGTGAATGATTGAAATAAAAAATCTAAGATTAAAGTTGATTTCATATAAAAATAATAAATACTGATTGATAATGATTGTTAGTAAGAGTATGTAGATGATTCAANCTCACCAGGGAGCAACTATCCTGGCTGGTTTCTATAATTGGTTAGTTCTTGTAATCATACCATGTGCATTACTAAGATATCCTCGTATTAGAGTAACAACTGGTGAAATACATTAAACTGCAAAACTAAAGCCCTACATACTGCAGAAAGCCCACCACATTAAACTTTCAGCATATTGCCATTTTATGAAGAATTCATTTTCCTGCACTTTGCATAGAAGGTAAACTGATCACCCATGTAGGCCTTTTTCATAAATATGGACTGAAGCAAATATGAAAGGAAAAGGAAAGTATTTTTATGTTAACGAAATCTGTGCTTATACTGCTTTATACACAATCCATTGGACATTGTATTTACGAACCAAGGTTAGAAAAACCATGCATACTAAAATATTAAGAAAAGACAGGATGGGCATAAATCCTACTTGCTAAACAGTTTTCTGCAATGCCTTAGGGAGGAATCACGAAGACCACCAGTACCTTCACTAGTAACTACCTCATTTATCAGATCTTTAAAGATCAGACGCTCAATGTCCAACACTAAAGCCGAAACTTCACCTCCGTAACTTACCCAATCATCTTGATACATGATGTCTGCAGTCAGGAGTCTGATCATTTCATCTTCTTCGTCATCAAGCCTGCCATCTGGTATCTTGCAGATACGGTCCATCCCCAAATACACGTCTTTCAGAAGCACCTGTGGACTGGTCAATTTGTGCCCTGATGTAAATACTCCACCCGAGGTGATTTTGCGGACAAGTAATTCATCCACCATATCGAAAATTAGTTTTCTCTCGATTTTCTTGTTCAGTTGCATCATATCACTCTTTGAACTGATTTCCTCTGTTAGCTCCAGGATATGAAACATGTTAGGGTTGATCAGATGGCATGAGGAAAGGAGGTGATCAGTAAGAGAGATGACACTCGGGTCTTTGAGGAGTCCTGATGTTAGTAGTATCTTGTTGATGTATTTGTGATCTGGGTTGAGGCTCCGGTACATTAGTGTATGGTGATCCACAGCCGTTGGATTGGGCTTGGTCAGTACTTTACTTGTGTATTCTGTTAAATGATTTAGATTCTCGAGGTGTCTTTGTGCTTCATCTGGGCTTGGGATCGCATCTGTTATATTCAGTTTGAGACAGACCAAACAGAAATTAGTCGGATGATTAAACCACAGTTCCAGTGTGTACAAGTGAACAGGAGAAACTAATAAATTATGTGCTATTGCCTCAAATATTTTATTTTATTTCATTTTATTTCTGAGTTTTTCCCCCCTATATTGAAACAGATAGATATAGCAAGGCAGCATAACATATATCCTCGAATGCTCTACCAATAAGCCTTGTTTAGTTACAACTACATTTACTTATGAAAGTTCAACTATTTTCTAATGAAGTACTCCAGAAGCTACGGTAAACAAGGGAAAGAATTTCCTAGCTATCAGTCTGTGAAATCTTAATTTTGCCTACATTTTAAATTGGATCATGCTATGTGTGATGTTTAAATTGACCCTTGTTTTAGTGTTTTAAGGCACCGGCCACAAACTGCTCGACTATTAACTTAATGGAGGAATTAAAATAATATTTCATGCTTGCGTAGTTTTTTCATTTGAAATAAACGGGTTCTGATAGCGTATAACAATACCTTGAAATACTGTTGATATCTTCTTCACTGGGGATGGTGGATCTTCACCGTAAAATGTATCATCAAGAACTGAGATTGGACTTGGTTGTTCGGGAATGGTTATTACAGTTTTAACCGCATGAATTTGTTCTCTGGTCGTTGTTGACACTGAATTCTGAGGACATAAATATACACCTGTCAGCTAATGCGAAACATCTAACTCTATACTGTAATTGCATAAGGTAGTATATATCTAACTTACTTCTTTTTGTGCAGCATCTGGATTGACCAAATGTACCAGGTCTATAACCTCTGTTGCTGCCTGTAACACTTGGCTGTTGTTGCTTTCTGACACTACAGAAGCTGTGTCGTGGTGATAGCTCGACTGCCTCGTCCCACTACTAAGCACAGTCAAGTGGCCATCACTTAACTGCATATTCTTTGCTTTTACTTTGCTGTTCTGGGAACCTTTTTCAGTAAGATTCTTTCTGTGGTGATTTTTGACCCCTGCCGAGTCTGGTGATGGGGTGGTGGGTGGGGATTGTCCTTCTATTCTGAGTACACGATGTTGCAATCTTGGGCTCACCACTACCTTCTTGCACTGATGTCCCAGCGTGCTTCTATCATGTTCTGGAGCTCCCCAAGAAGTCCTTTTGCCAGTAGAAATTGTATTGTTCTTGGATGTGAACTCTTTTGTCTTTTTCCCGGGAGCTGAATTTTCCACGTGGTACCTGGGTTTCCGAGTCCGAAATTTTTTCTGTTGTGAAACTGGAAATGTGGCTTTTTCCATAAAATCAGCTTGTTTGATGACAACCGTTGAGACTAATTGCTGCGGATTGCAAGGTCCCTTGATGGTGAGAACTCGGTCATTACTTTTCCTCTGTAATGTGTATTGTACAGATTCTCCCATTCTTTCTTCTAATCTCTCTCTTGTTTTCTGCATTGCTTCAAGTATTTGTTTAAGGGCCCTGAGATCCTTGCCTGCCTTCTGGAATTGAAGCTCTGTCATCCTCTTCTCGATTTCACCATAAACCGAAGAAGATAGGCTTCTGCTGTTAGTTGGAGCTCTCCTTTTATCTATTGCCATTTTCGGAGAACCTTGACCTGAATCTTGTTGCCTCCAAGGAGCCGGTTCTATGGGAATTCTCGAGCACATTTTTGTTCTCCTGTCAAAATTCTCACTTTGAAATCTTGGTGATTGTGAGGTGGGGTCGTTTTGAGGAAAACAAGGCGAATAATAACTAGCATGATTTTGAGCTCTTAAGGTTGGGGTCCTGTTCTCGTCTGTGAAGCTGGGGTCCGGGAAATTTTCGAGACCCATCAGCTTTGCTACAATGCTAGATGTCCGGTTGTGGCTGAGATTCTCGTTCTCCACATGCGGGTCCCGGTCGAGAAAATTCGATCTCGACTTTTCGGCCAAAGACTTCTTCATGGAACTAGTCTTGCTGTCTAACGAAAGCCTCGGGAGTTCTTTCTGCTTCGCAGTCCACCTGAGCCCATCCCGCGATTCTCCCCCGTCGTAAGAAAAACGATGAAGACCAAGTGCTTGCCTCTCGTTTTTGGAGATTCTTGTTATTTCGTGGGCCCCACCAAGAACTTGAGACGATCCCTTGGAGATTACGGATGGATTTAGTGTTTTGGGTTTGGATTGATGTGGGAGCCTGGGAGAGTCTACATATTTCATTACTGTCCCTTTATTCTCGTCTTTTTTAGGTGCTCGGGTTTTGATGGGCAGGCCACGGGCTTCTCTGTGCATTGAGTCTTTGACTACATCACGAAGGTCAAGGGATCGAGGCTCTTTAGTGGGTGTGATCGGAAATGGGCTTTCGGATTTGTTTTTCTGTCTGAGTGAAAGTGTTTCAGGCTGAGTTGTTTGGTTGAAATCGAGCGATGAGAATGTGGATGAACAGGAGGAAGATGTGTAGGATGCCCGGGATGATTCAGTGGAGATTATGGGATTTTCCTTGTGTGACTCAAGAGCTTTTTCCTGAAAAATGTAAAGTTTTTCTTTTTAATTACCGTTACGAAAAATGATACATTACCACTGTGAAATTTTTAACGCGAGCATTTTTTTTTTTTTTTCCTTTTCAGTGAGAAGAGAAGGGAAAATGTATGTTCGGGATCTTACGCTTACGGCTCTGGCTGCATACTGGGGTTCCAGTTGGTGTTGTGTACCTTGAAGAACACAAAAGGTACAGAAATTTTAGCAAGAGGACACGTGAATGATGGATTAAAATAATATAATTGTCTTCTATCACAGCAGTTAAATCTATATTGGCTGCACTTTTGATCCTGTGTTTGTTTAAGTGCAGAGCATAAAATGGTTTCCGGTTTCGAAATTTATTTTGTCTATCAGAATAGAATAATGAGATAATCTTCATTTTACTCTTTTCTTATTTTGATCTCTTTTCACAGTAAATCATATATTTTATAAAATTCTCTTGCACATATAGAAACTATGGGGAAACAAACGCAAGCACATATAGTCTGATACTAATTTATTTCCCTTAATCACATTGCTGCACTCTTCCGATTTTTCTGCTGCTGCAAATATAATTATCTAATTTTCCTTTTTTTCTGCTTAATAAGGTCTTACTAACTTACATACCTTGAAGCAGCCTTTTATGGTGTCGGTCAAAGAGTTGTAAAATGCCGTTCATGCAACCAATCTGTTTCCTTAGGTCTCTGTTCTCATCTCTTAGGGAACTCATTGTCTTTGCAGACATATCTCTTATCTCCTTTCTTTTTTTAATTCTAAAACAGAGGAAAAAACGAAAACTCTGCTCGTAGTCTGTTCTTTTCTACTCTTTCAATGAGTTCCTATTGACTTTTCAGGTTTTGCATTAAGCTCAAGAACCTGCACATGTTGAAGAATTCAAGTTAGTTCGTTACGTGAACACATGCAGATTCAGGTGAATTCTATCATGTTTATGAGAATATTTTTTTCACCCGTTTTGTCAAGAAAAGTTTTAAAGGTTTCGAGAAAATCCCGAAAAAGAAGAGAAAGGAAAGAAAGAAAAAGAACTCAGAAAGGAAGCATGGGAATCACTTGTTTGATGGTTTCAAACGTACTTTTGCTCGTGAAATGGCGTATTTTTTCAGAATTTCCAGTAAAAATGACAATCAATCTCCAATATTTAGACAAAAGAAAGTGTAAATGGAAGATCAAGAAAAAGAAGAGGTGTTTTTCCTTTTCTCTCTCTCTCTCTCTCTGTGGCTGCTGGCCTGGGCTAGTCTATGAAGGTAGAGTTTTTCGAGCAAATTGTAAATGTTCATTGACCCAAGTACTTGCACATATTTATTTGTCCAAAAATGAGAAAAAATTGGGCCCATGTTTGAATTAAGTGTGAATATGTGTAGGCCATGGCTTTCACCGGTGATTTTCTTGCAGTTCCATGTGGACACTGTGAACCTCTCCAAATGGCATGTGGACTCTGTAATAGTGTAAGAATGTGGATTGGTGCACACTTGCAGAGACCCTTTTGAGTCTAAACCACTTTTCCAACTGGTAAGTCCCAACCCAGTCCTCTAGAAAGCAACATGATTTTTTTTCCAAAACTGGCATATTATATATCTAAATTATCTATTTATTAATTAACATTATAACCCACATTTTGAATTAGATGGATAATTTGAAAATTAGACGGGTTTTAATCAATTTCAATATATTGGGAGGTTTTTGGAGTTCATATTTACATTTCTTGATCTCTAGCTTAATTTTATGTGGAAAAAGGAAAATAAAAGGCTTGGTTGTTTTTTTTGAAATAGTATATATACCATACATATAAATTCAATTCTTGGGAAGGTTAATTTGGTTGGTTTTTGAGGAACAGTTTTAGCTGTTGGAAAAACAAATGTGGTGGGAATTACTTGCTAAGGTCACTTTCAAAAAGCCACTTAGAACTAATCAATTTTCAGATTCAGCATCATCAGCTGGCAGTAATTAATTCTGCTGATACCCTAAAAGGAAAATAAATAAAGAAAGAAAATTTTCCAATAATAATTATTGGGTAGTTGAAGTTTTAATCTGCTGCCTCGGATCGCATCATTTCTGCTGTCATAGGAAAAGATTAAGAAGTGTCTGCACAGTGTTGTTGAAAGTTGAAACTATTCAATGCTTTGATCTTATATGATATTCAAAGGGAGAAGCACTTTTTTTCGGTTAATATACATACTTTTAAAATGAAATGTCATACTCTAAAATAAAAAATTAAGTATGTTTTTTCAAAACGTAATTATGCAGTTTTTTTAGAAAAATATGACGGGTCAACTTGTCTAACATTTCTTCTCTGGTAGCTTTAAGCCTTTAGCTGAAGCCCTGACCCTTTTTCTGAACTTCTGAGTTCTGAGGTGTAAATTTTCATATGCATTATTTAGAATCTATTCACAGACCAGCCTCGCAGTTTGGCATCTAGTCTATTCAAGATCTGCGTCAGTTCAAGCCTTTCATGTCATAAATGAGCATCTTTTTCACTTATGATGATCAATATGTGGTCTGCTAATTTGGTACCACAATTAATTGTCAAGAAAATCATGTATTTGAAAAAACAAAAA